ATGTATAACACTGAAAATTGGTATATAAGGGTTATTTGGTACGACAAAACGAACCATCGTTTTACTGTAGCCGCTAGAGGGCGCTCTCTACTGTACCTGTAATGTATTAAAATGAAAATTTTCTTAGTGCAATTTTTTGCTTTTTGAATAAAAAAACTGATTCTTCGCACTTTTCAACATAAAAAAGCTCTCCTGTGAGTTTTCGTTATAGTTAGCCGTTTTTGAGATATTTCGATTTTTAAGGTTCGATGCATTTTTAATTATTTATGGGAAAATAATATTTTTTTTTACATTTTCGATTTGGGCATTACAAGTAATTAAGATGATCGTTTAGATTGTGTTCTTAAACACAGCAATAATTCCTAACTCCAAATAAACACAAAAAAACAGAATATTAATTTGTTTAATTTTCCAATATTATTTTTAACAAATTAAATTAATTATTTACAACTAAAATGCTATTGGATAGTTAGGATAAACATACAAAATCTAAAGTAGTTACTTGAAATGTAAACCCAATTGTTCAATACACAATTCACATCTACGAATGATCGAACGTGGTATAGCATTATTCAAATAAGGCCTTATTTCATCACATGCATTCCTGATTCTGTCTATTAGCATATCTCTTGTGGTTACGTGAGTCTGGTACACTTTTTGTTTTAGAAATCCCCACACAAAGAAATCTAACGGATTTAGGTCAGGGGATCGTGGAGGCCAGGCGACTCTTCCTCCACGGCCGATCCATCTTTCTGGATAATTTTCGTCCAGCCAGTTTCTAACTATTCTCGAATAATGAGCTGGACAACCATCAAGCTGGAACCAGGCCAATCTTCTTAAATAGTCGATTACGGTAGATACCAATCTACACGTTCACACTAAATTCATGCTGAACATTTTTTTCCCAAAGCGCATGCGGATTTTCATGCGACCAAATATGTTGATTATGAAAATTTACCACTCCACGTCTAGTGAAGCATGACTCATCGGTGCATAAAACGTTACTTAAAAACTCCCTATTATTATCAGTTCTATCAAGAATCCACTGACAAAATGTGATTCTTCGTTCTCCGTCCCCTGGCCCTTGCACAGTTGCAAATGGTAAGGACGTATATGGTCATTTCTAAGAACACGGTGAACACGGTGAACATGGCTTGCTGAAATTTCCAAGGCACCAGAAACTCTCCTAACACTTGTGGTCGGATCTCTATCAAACTCACGCAGAATTATACGGGTAAATTTGCGCTGACGAACATTTATGTTTTGATCCCTTTGGAGTTTTCCAAAACCATTTTCAATTATCTGGCGATGCACTCTGACAAATACTAAGCGAGTTGGATGTCGTCTGTTTGGAAATCTTCGTGCGTATTCTCTGGCTGCTTCTGCTGCGTTTCCATTTACAAAGCCATACACAAAATGAATATCCGCTACCTCTTGATTGGAGAATAAAAATGGCATTTTTATAAAACTTACAAAAAAAGAACAGGTAAAAGAAACTAAATCTCGTGCATTGACAATTGCAAAAAAGGTTTCAGGTTTCAACAGACAACAAAACTAACTGTCAACTAATTGACGTTTAACCTTATTCTGCTTTCAATTTCAAAAATATTTGCAGGCACAGCCTACTTCTAAAAATTATCGAGATACTGACTTTTTAACGTTATTTTATCATAAATAATTAAAATGCATCGAACCTTAAAAATCGAAATATCTCAAAAATGGCTAACTATAACGAAAATTCACAAGAGGGCTTTTTTATGTTGAAAAGTGCGAAGAATCAGTTTTTTTATTCAAAAACTATGCCTATGCTTCGTTTTGTCGTACCAAAAAACCTTTGTATACCAATTTTCACTGTTATACATCAAATATTGTTCGAAATATTTAAAAAAAACTATTTTAGAAAGTAAATTTAAACACTCTGTATTTCGGAAGCCACGCATTTTTCGACCCATGTTTATTTAGACTTTATGCATTAGTTTTAAAAGTTCTATCGAATCTTAAAGTTATGCAACAATAAACTGAAACACCCTGTATAGGTATCTCATAGAGAAACACGAGTTCTTCAAGCTTCCTTCTTGTGGTTCCTGTATAAACGCTACTTTGGAAGCAAATTTACTCCTATTTATTTATCTCAAATCGACTACACCGTTTAAAGTATAACAATGCATCGCTTGTAACTTCCTGGATTACATTACTTTGCCGACAGTTATTATTGCTTAGAATTCACTTTAACAAAGTTTCTGCGAAGCCCGTGTAGCAACCACCGTTTTAGACGGAGGCCAGTACGTAAAGTTTGCACCCCGGACGATTTGCTTAAATTGAAATTTGTTTGACACAGGTTAGGATCAGACAAACTGTGATAATACTAACCAGATATTTTAAAATTATAAATACTAGAGTCTTGAATACTATACAACAATATACGGTACCAGCTGCGGTTTTACCCGCGGAACGTGTTTGTGGTGCCACAAGTAACCAAATTTCCCAAGCAAGAAATTTGGGTGTCATTTTGCTAATGCCATCAAAAAAAATACAAAACCTGGCCAGGGCTCGAGAATATCACTTTATATTTCAATAAGTGCTCAAAATGTTGCCCCTTAGGGAATCTACAATTCGCTTATAATTTAAAAGGAAACTACCAAAGTAAACAGCAATTAGAAAGATTAGGCGTGGCAACAACCCGAATTTCTTTCCGCATTCTTTTCGTCAACACAGATATCCTGGGCGAACTGTTTTTATTGTTATACCTATTTAGTTATTTGTTTCTAAGGGATAAAAAAGAATTTAATTTGCTGCCAGTTACCTTTGTGATAATCTTGGGATGGTGAAAATTAATTTATTGAATCAGACTTTACTTCCCAAACAGTTTACACATGATAGGCAACATTTTTAACACATTGAAATAAAACGTGATATTTTCTTGTGTTTTTGTTGTCTATCTGAACAAATTAAGATTAATAAAGGTTTTTCTAATTTTGTTGAAAACGACTCGACCGATTTATAGTCAAACTTCAAAATAAAGGACTTAATAATAATAATAATAATTTTAATTTTGAGACAAACAAAGGTTGTTTAGAAATCGACAAGAGAGCATCTATATACAGAGTTATGAAAAAACTATATTAAAACAGAATAATAAACAACATTTGCACACTGATAAACTCACAGACATTATACAAACATTTATGTATTAAAAAGCCTTTCAAACAATACTTTAAGTGATTTTGATTTGCTATTCCTTGTATATCATTTGGAAGGAGGTTAAAGATTTTAGGACCAAGTATATTTGGCGATTTATTTCCTACTTTAAATTTATAAAAATTGGACTGTATACTATCACTCTGCCTTGTGGCAACTGTGTGTACTTCTTTGTTGAGAGTAAACTTGGTCTTATTCCGGAATACATATACTAAGTGACATATAAATCCGAACACCCAGTTTGAATAGTTTTATTTTAATAAAATTTGGTATAAGTACTTAATGAAGCATAATAAGTAAATGATAAAAATTTCAAAATGATTGCACTGCTTTAAAGCCCTTTGACCTTTAATAATGTGTGGCTGCACCCTGATGTGCTACGCATTCTCCAACGCGCCTAGGCATGCTTCTGATCAGGTGGTCAATGTCCTCCTGTGGTATCTCATTCCAGGCAACCACCAACTCCTCTCGAAGTGCTTCTCGAGTGTGAGGAGGACGTTGCAAATTGAGCAATCTCCTACCCATCATATCCCACACGTGCTCAATTGGGGATAAGTCGGAAGATCTTGGTGGCCATGGTAACAATGTGACATCATTATGTTGAAAGAAGTCTATTGTGACTCTTGCAACATGTGATCGGGCATTATCTTGTTGGAAAGTTGGATCTGCCAGGGTGTCAAGATAGGGTAAAAGATGGGGTTCTAGAACTTCGTGGATATAAAGTTGCGCGTTCAAGTTACCTCTGATGAAGATTAATGGTGACCTGGAACCATAAGCTATAACACCCCAAACCATAACTCCAACAGTGTGATGAACATGTCTTTCAACAAAAAACTGTGGATTCCTCGTTTCACCACGTCGCCTTCTAACCCTTACACCGACGTAATCGCCTTGAGTGGTGCAGACAACGGTCACTCTGGGATCAGGAATGGAACAGCATTGAGTGACGAGTCTCGATTTTGTTTAGGCATGCACGCTGGTCGTGCCAGGGTTAGAAGGCGACGTGGTGAAAGGAGGAATCCACATTTTTTTGTTGAAAGACATGTTCATCACACTGTTGGAATTATGGTTTGGGGTGCTATAGCTTATGGTTCCGGTCACCTTTAATCTTCATCGGAGGTAACATGAACGCGCAGCGTTATATCCACGAAGTTCTAGAACCCCATCTTTTACCCTATCTTGACACCCTGGCAGATCCAACTTTCCAACAAGATAATGCCCGACCACATGTTGCAAGAGTCACAATAGACTTCTTTCAATATAATGATGTCACATTGTTACCATGACCACCAAGATCTCCCGACTTATCCCCAATTGAGCACGTGTGAGATATGATGGGTAGGAGATTGCTCAATTTGCAACGTCCTCCTGAGACTCTAGAAGCACTTCAAGAGGAGTTGGTGGTTGCGTGGAATGAGATACCACAGGAGGACATTGACCACCTGATCAGAAGCATGCCTAGGCGCGTTGGAGAATGCGTAGCACATCAGGGTGCAGCCACACATTATTAAAGGTCAAAGGGCTTTAAAGCAGTGCAATCATTTTGAAATTTTTATCATTTACTTATTATGCTTCATTAAGTACTTATACAAAATTTTATTAAAATAAAACCATTTAAACTCTGTGTTCGGATTTATATGTCACTTAGTGTATTTTCCAATTTGCTCGATACTTCGAAAGACCTTTTAAATAAGCCGTTACTCGATACCACTTGTCATTTAAAAATTTTAAAGGGATGACCCTGGGAGGCAGAGGGTGATAGGGGTTGAAGTAGTTTCTGGTTGAAAGGTTGTCATCCTTGACAAATCTGTTGACGTATCTCGGCGTTATTTCTTTTAATCAATGGTTTTCGATTAATCCGTAGGAGCACCTCACAATGCCAGCAAAGCCTAGAACCACTTGCGGTTGGTTATTGTCGTTCCCAAAAGGACGTCCAGCTCTCCAAATCGCAAGCGGACATAAGGTTTTTTTATGTACCATACACGTGTACCCCGTCCATCTACGATCAGGTAAGCAAAATCCATTTATATTCAAGGTAGGACTTGAATTTGGCCTCAATTTCCAAATGTACTTGAAATTTTGATATATTTATGTTTTTTAACATGTTTTTGTGGGGTCTGAATGAAACTCGTCGCCTTGAACCTAAGATAGTTCTTATATGAGTACTTTTGAGGAACTTGATATTTTCTCGCAATGCTTCAATTTCCACCAGGAACAAATTTACAGAAATGCTAATAAATCTGACTATATAAATCCAGAGCATCATTTGACAATTTTAAAAAAATTTACCACTTGGAAAATATTTGTCTTCAAAAGTCAGAGACCCATAGATTCTACCATATTGTCGTTCTTCCGTATTATTTCATTTTATACATAGAAGCAATTATTTATTATAATTATGTAGTCAATCATTTATACTCTACTCAATAGCAGCAGTCATTTACATACATAGTCGAACATAAAAAAAACACAATTATTTCATATTATAAACAAGAGTTCAGCCATAAGGATAAATACAGATAAAAATCAACATCACAGAAATATACCCAATTGTTCATTAGCTTTATCTCATGAATAAATAATACAATACACCTCAGCATGCTTATTTTAGAGGTATACGAGTACAAATAAAAAATATCACATTATCTATAATTCAAATTGCCGAACAAGGAAATTAAATGCAATTTATTGCAATACGATTGTGAAATATAGCACGCTTAAACTTACCGAATCATAGAAATTCGAATGATAGCATAAAAGTTGTCCAGCAATGCGGAATTGGATCGTAATCTCCTAATTAGATCTTGAAATACTTAGCAATAAAACTGATAAATTCACAGTTTTTGTCGTATTCAAGTGGTCGAAATGCAAGCTGAGTACGGTCTACGTACACTCCGATTTAGCTGCTACTAGGCGTGCTATACACCTTAGGAAAAACCATTGTTATACATGGGAAATCATTTCTTGGCAACAGCGCATCGGCTCGTCTACTTTCATCGCTATTCGTACATATTTCCTACCGTTAACCGCAGACCTGTATCACGAATGAGAATAATAGGCAGATACGCTGTGTTGCCAATTTGAGTAGAGCTTCCCGAATTGTGGGGAATTTAGAGTTAAGTGTTGATTCATTCAAGCTTTTAATCAGCATGGCCTAGACGTTAGAACTTCATAAAGCTAACATTGAAGCTGAATGCTGCTGGAGTATAGTGTTTCGAATATTCAAAGCGGAGCGGGACACTATACTCGTTCAATGGGTCATCAAGCCACAGTCTTTTCATCAAAGAAATTATTTTACGAAAATGCGTTATATTTTTACGATTTTGTCGTAACCAAATCTCTGTTTCTCAAAATGTACGTCTATTGTAGAATTTTCAGCAAACTAAGCAAGAAACGTGATCTAGTATTTACTCAACATTACGGATTTCTCGAAATACATTAAAAAATGTGACCTAGATACCTAACTGCCCCAAGCTCTTTAAATATAACACCTTAAACCAGGGTTACCAGGTGCTCAGTCACGTTGATTGTCATATTGTACTGCGCAAGTCAGCAAACAATCTGGCGTAATAAAGGTTAGGAATCATCAGGTATTGCCAGATTCCCGAATACCGGGTACAATAGTAACCGTTATAGTTGTTCTTCAAAGTTGTCAAATCGCCCCTATGGCGCAAATTCGCCACACCAGGCAACTGTGCTATAAACAAACCCTGTTTATCACTACTATTTGATAGTCATATGGTAGTTGTAGCCCTATCTAGCGGTCCATGATTTCTCTCAATACTGTTGTATCTCTACTGGCAACAAGAATAGGGATTACAAAATCATTTATACAACAATATACAAACATGAAAAATATGATTTGAACCATGAAACATTAATACAATTTTAACAGTTTGAACTTTTTTCATTTTTGGAATACTCTTATGTGGAATCCGCAGCCGAAATTTGGGTAGACTTAGGTTTCTTAGAAATATGACATATTGGTATCGGCAACTCTGCGAATGGGAGAAACAAATCGCATTTGTTGAGCGCATCCATCTAAGCAGCAGGCGCCAGCGCCCGTTCTGCCATCTCTCTTTTATCACTCTTCTACTTTACCCCGTTGTCCGTCACACTCCGACGCTGTCACATAGGATCCTACAATCGAGTGTCTTTCACGCACCTACATACTTTTGTATATTTCCATCTCTCTTCCTCATCATAATGTATAATAATGTTTTTGCCCAAGGTGTATGTGGTTGTGCACCCTGCAGTTGGCGAGAAGCTTTACCTCCGACTTCCCCGCTAAAACCTCAAGCGTTCAGGCACGCGACATCGTATCAGGTGCCTAGAAGACTGTTTCTTCATTAAAGTCGTTTTTTATCATAACCATGATACTAGTATAGTGTGAGTAGCGAAAATATTATACAGCTTTAAAGCCGGCCCTGCCTAGGTGTTGCGAGAAAGGTAAACTTTAAGCGTTTATTTCTTCTGTGGCGCTATGCGCTCCTAGAAAATGTGACGAAGTACGAAGTGAATTTGATCAGTATCGCCTGGTATCAAGGTATCAAGCACAGTAATACGGTTGAGTAGTCTAAAAAGTTTGATTTAGTCTACCGGAGAGGATCGATCCTCAGGCACGTTTTGTTGAAACAATTTTCTGTTTCCACGGGCGCTAGCAGAAGGGGTAGGGACAACGTTAACGCGTTTAGCATGGTTTTATGCACAAAATTGGTGATTTTGAGGATTAAGGCCCGTGTCGTCAGTCGTCCCTACAATTGTAGGGCGCGTTTATGGCCTCCTTGACTGTCATAGTTTTCTACTTCTCCGTGTCAGCGCTCTATTTTGAGGTTATGACACAAACATCTATTTGCATCAAATTCTGCTTGCTTTTGAGTTTTATCATGTTTTATCAGCCTGAAATTTCCTACAATTTAAAAGGAAAACATATCTTAACAATAGGAAAGTGCTGACGCTGACACGGGACGAGTGTAATCTAGAAATTTTTCAAGGAGAGAAAAGAGTATGATAATCAAGGAGGCCATAAACGCGCCCTACAATTGTAGGGACGACTGACGATACGGGCCTTAGTCTCTCTTAGGAAAGCTGTTCCCACTCTTCGTGCGTGTGACAGTATCTGTAACGATGTGGACAAATTGTAGTTTTTTTTACCGAAGCGGCCGCGCAGGCAGAAGCCTAAATGCCAGGACAACGTAGCTGCTATGAGGAGCTTGAAGAGACTTTTCTTATACACTCATTGACACGCATGGGCATCGTGCTGATAAGGTGGTAGATATCCTGCTAACGTATCTCATTCCAGGCTACTACAATTTCGTGAGCAAGAGCTGCTAAGGTCTGTGGAGGGTGTTGAAAATTCAAGAGCCTGCGACCTATCATGTCCCAGACATGTTAAATTGAAGATAGATCAGGCGATCATAGTGGCCAAGGTAAACAGCTGATGTGGTATTCAGTTCAATTCAATTCTTTATTTGTGTTAAGTACACCAGCGTGTTTACACAAGTCAAAAGAAAAAAAATTAATACAAAAAGCAGTCTGACAAAAGACTGATGTTCAAATTAGACAGAAAAACATCAACTTATGACATTATGATTCCATAAAAGCAGATACAGCAAGTCCATATAAGTTCTAAAAACAGGAGGATATATACGTACATAGATACACGCATATTCATTTAACCACAGTACGTATGTTTACTTCTACACACACACATATATACATATATACACATATACACATATATACGTTAAAATGGTAAGACATATGAAATGTTGATATAAAAATTTACCAGGTGACTCAGTAGAAAGTTCAAGGAGCCTCGAGGATCCCAGGTGTAGGGACACTGTTATATTTGCTAACAATCCGACAAGTCTGAAAAATTATTGCTCAAATACTCGTTGATCGAGTAAAATGCTTTAGTAGTCAGATAAGCATTAATTTTATTTTTAAAAACTTTCGCATCCCTTTATACGGTCTGGTAACAGGTTATAAAAAACTATCTCATAATATTTTGTGCCGTTCCTGATGGTTTGAAGACGGCTATGAGGTACTAAGATTTTATCCATATTTCTGGTTCTATAACTGTGGACATCACTGTGGGTAGTATATTGGCTCAGGTTCGTCTTTATATACATCAGACATGTGAAGATGTAAAGAGAAGGTACTGTCATGATTTTCAATTCTATAAAAGTTTCCTTGCAGGGTTCCGTGTATTTGAGGCCAGCAATGTACCGCAAGCAACGTCTTTGTGATCCAAAAACTTTTGACGAATGGGCCGAGTGACCCCAGTTTAACAATGCGTATGAAATTCTTGATTGAAAGTAGGAACAATATGTTAGAAGAAGAACTGACTGAGAGACATTTTATTTCAAGTTCCTTATCAAATATATATATTTTGCTAGTGCATCGAGAACATGGATTACGTGAGTTTCCCACGACAAGTGTTCATCAAGGTAGACTCCTAGTAACTTCACGGACTTTAGTGTATTAGTGTCGTGCTGCCTGAAGCTAAGAATAATCATCTGAGACTTGGCTTCATTGATGGTCAACTTATTAGCGGTTAACCAGTATGCTAGTTTTCTTTTATGAACCTCAGAGTCGAATATCAATGAGGCTAAAGAGGCATTGCTATTCATCAAGGTAGTGTCATCAGCGAATTGGATTAAGTTATTATTCACATTATATACTGAGTGAAATATAAATCCGAACACCCAGTTTAAATGGTTTTATTTTAATAAAATTTTGTATAAGTACTTAATGAAGCATAATAAGTAAATGATAAAAATTTCAAAATGATTGCACTGCTTTAAAGCCCTTTGACCTTTAATAATGTGTGGATGCACCCTGATGTGCTACGCATTCTCCAACGCGCCTAGGCATGCTTCTGATTAGGTGGTCAATGTCCTCCTGTGGTATCTCATTCCAGGCAACCACCAACTCCTCTCGAAGTGCTTCTAGAGTCTGAGGAGGACGTTGCAAATTGAGCAATCTCCTACCCATCATATCCCACACGTGCTCAATTGGGGATAAGTCGGGAGAGCTTAGTGGCCATGGTAACAATGTGACATCATTATGTTGAAAGAAGTCTATTGTGACTCTTGCAACATGTGGTCGGGCATTATCTTGTTGGAAAGTTGGATCTTCCAGGGTGTCAAAATAGGGTAAAAGATGGGGTTCTAGAACTTCGCGTTCATGTTACCTCTGATGAAGATTAAAGGTGACCTGGAACCATAAGCTATAGCACCCCAAACCATAACTCCAACAGTGTGATGAACATGTCTTTCAACAAAAAACTGTGGATTCCTCCTCTCACCACGTCGCCTTCTAACCCTGGCACGACCATCGTGCATGCCTAAACAAAATCGAGACTCGTCCCTTAAGGCCAATAATCATAGGCGGCGATCTACACGGTCTGTTGTTCTACGGCGGCGTCCAGTGCCCCTTGCTCTTTGCGTACGGCCTTCTCGAAGCCATGCCTGACAACTCCTAACCACAGTGTCTACACTTCTTTGCACTCTAACTGCAATTGCCCGAAAAGAAAGTCCAGCTTCCCGAGGTCCCACTATACGGCCCCTATTAAACTCACTAAGTTGACGAAATCGTACAGGTCTCCGTACTCTAGGCATCGTAACCGATCGTAAAGGATGTCAAGAACCAAAATCCGCCAACGTTGATTCTTTACTGCGGCTGAAATATTCATTTTTAGAGCGTTAGTGAATTAAAAAAAGCAGTTTAAAAACCGGAATGTCCAACTGATAAGGCTGAAAATTTTTTCACTTGTTATTTACAGTAAGATAAATACATTCACCAACTTTTGTTAAAATAAAACCATTTAAACTGGGTGTTCGGATTTATATGTCACTTAGTATAGTTAGTCATATCATTGACGTAAATTAAAAATAAAATAGGTCCCAATACCGAGCCTTGCGGTACCCCGTGAGCAGCGACTAACTTTGAGGATGATGAACCTTTAAAGAATACAAATTGGCGTCGATTACTTAAGTAAGATTTAATCATTGCAGTGGATGCTTCATTAAAGTTATAAAAAGGGAGCTTTTCCAACAGGATGTCGTGTTGAACACAATCATAAGCTTTGGACAAGTCCAACAAACATGCTGCGCCATATACGTTAGGTTGTTTTCAAAAGTCTCGTTCACAAACTGAATAAAACTGTTAATAGCTGATGTGATGGAACTATTTTCCCCAAAACCAAACTGTGTTGAGCAAAATAAATTGTTAGCCTCAAAGTATTCATTAATTTGATCTTTCAACTATAATTCCAAAATTTTCGCCAAAATAGGTATTAAGGAAATGGGCCTGTAGTTGCATAACTCTTCAGTATCCCCTTGTTTGAAAATGGGTATAATTTTAGATAGTTTGAAAAAATCCGGAAAAGTATTACTTCCTATACACTGATTGAATAACTTGGTTAGAGGATATATGATGAGATTTTGCAAGGTTTTGACCATCATTGATCCATGCAGGCTAACGATGCTCAGGCAACATGCGGTCTGGCATTGTCTTGCTGAAAAATCGGATTTCGGATGGTGCTTAGCCTTATTGCCTCTGATGAAAATTAGTGGTGATCTGCTACCATAAGCAATAGCACCCCATACTATAACTCTCACGGTATAGTGTACATGACGCTCTCTGTCAAGTTGTGGATCACGTCTTTCACCTCGTCGCCGTCTCACTCTGGCCCAACCATCCCCAGACAGAAGCCGAATTCGTCACTAAAGACCACCTGATTCCATTCCCCGTTCCATAGAATTCTTTCTCTACACCACAGCAAACGGTTACGCCGATGTTCGGCGATATACCGTACGCATACCAACCATCCTTCCATGCTCTTCAAACCACTGATAAATCGATAATATGTAAAAGATTCTTGAATTCTAATAAACATACGGGGGCGTTTACCTCTTTTGTCGCTCGGTATATTTGACACAGGATGTGAGTGACATGATTTTTCGTGATTCAGATCTCAGAAACAGAATATCTCGTTTTAGAAATCCTTGGCAACTACAGTATTTCCTCTTCAGTGCCAGACGAAATAGGAACATCGAAATTTATATGGGGTTGTCCAATACGGACGCAGGAAAGTAAACGCATATTACAACAAGAAAGATTGATATTCAAATCAAGTTGGGTACTTTATTTTGAAGGTTCATTTATACCATTTATGTATGAAAAATAATATCGCTCAAATGTTCACCACGACTGGATTTACAGACGTCCACGCGATGTTCGAAATTTTCAATGACATTTTGCAACATGGTCGGTTCTATGGCATTTGTCTCGGCAATGATGTTGTTTTTGAGTTCTTGGAGGGTGGCTGGTTTGTTGACGTAGACTTTGCTTTTCAAATATCCCTATAAAAAGAAGTCCAAGGGAGTCAAATCGCACGATCTTGGTGGCCATGGCGCATTTCCTCTGCGCGAAGTCACGCGATCACCGAAGGAGGACTGCAATCGATGGATATTGACGTTTGTTGTGTGGCATGTTGCACCGTCTTGTTGGAAATAAACATCGTCCATATCCATTCCTTCAAGTTGCGGCAAAAAATAGTCCTCTATCATCACGTGATATCGCTCAGAATTGACGGTAACGGCGTCTCCGGCCGGATTTTCGAAAAAGTAAGGTCCGATGATGCCTTTTGACCACAATGCACACCACACAGTCACTTTTTGAGGATGCATCGGCTGCTCTTGATACTCACGGGGATTTTCGTTCGCCCAGATGCGGCAGTTTTGCTTGTTTACCGTCCCATTCAAAGTGAAATGCGCTTCGTCGCTGAACATGATTTTTGATGAAAAATTGGCATGAATTTGGCGGTGTTCAAGGAGCCAATCTGAGAACGTTCGGCGCGAAAAATGGTCGGCCCGTCGCAGCTCTTGCGTCAACTGGATCTTGTAGGCGTGTACATTCAAATCCTTGTGGAGAATGCGGAGCATACTGGTTCTCGAAATGCCCAATTCTTGGGATCGACGCGTTGTTGATTGTTTCGGATCGTCTCTCACACTCTCCTTCACAACAGCAATATTTTCCGGTGTGCGAACGCTCCTTGGCCGGCCAGAGCCTGGCAGATTTGCCATAGAACCTGTTGCCTCGAATTTACGCACCAGACGACCGATGGTTGTTTCGTTTGGGCGGTTGTTGCGACCGAAATGTTCACGAAGCGCGCGAAACCTGTTTTTTATTTTTGCACCATCTTTGTAGTGCTCTTGAATAACTTTAATGCGGTCTTCAATCGAATACGACTCCGTAGCGATCAATGGTAAACATTCAACTAACAAAATGACATGTCGGTGACAGAAAACAAAGATGGCGTCTATTTCAAATTGACGTTTACTTTCCTGCGTCCCTATTGGACAACCCTTTAGATTATGCTGTACCTATAAATATTGGAGGAAATCCAAAGATTTTCAAAGGATTCAAAGATATCTGAGAAAAGGAAGCATTTTGTTACAGAAATATATCACTGGCTAGTCCCTGGGCTAAATTTCATCAGCTCTTGATATAAAAGCGTTGGAATGAAAATCTACTCGCCAAACATCAGAAATGCAAAAGTACATCACCCTGGCGACTCTAGTCTTTGAAAGCACTGGCCAGTAATTGCAGAGTTTCAGTAAATATACTCGTATTAGCACCGCTGCGCAGTTCATTATCCCTTCTAATTTCTGTCCAGCTGCCTTGTATTTCATTTACGAGCAAATATTTCCCGACTGCGACCCTGCCAGCTCTTTTCGCGTTTTAAAAATAAATAAAAAAGTAAGGCATTGCTCTGGCAGGATGCTGGTATGGAAATATAGTCATTCATGTGTTAAGATAGCTAAACTTCTGGTCTTTGTTGTATATAAGGACGTAGCTTTGTTCAGAGTGCTCGTCCTGAGGATTAACTTTAAAAGGTTTATATTTCTATATCTCTGTCCCCTAGAAGCTAAAGCTCAAAGGAGTGTAGGTTACATCCTTCGTTAAGCACAAATGTCTATTCCTCTCCCCAGTATTCGTGGATTTTCCTCTCTATTTCAATGCAACAAAACAAATATCTAATCAAAACATAAATAGTCCTCAAACTGTCAATAGTTGTAAATAGTTTCGCGTTTTTCCCCGATTAGTGGCAAGCTCACTAGCCAATAGTAGTTTGGAAGAAAGAATTGGACAAGCACAAAAAATATTAACCGCAGATTGGGATATATTGAAGGAATTCCTCATGTTAGCACAAGGCCATTATCCCTTGAGTTGGGCATATCACGAGCAACAGTCCACAATATTTTGAAGGACCCCATGTCAGTTCTAATGACCATCAAAATATAGGGATTTATTCAAATTCAACTTTTTTTAATTACCCTTAGAGTGCACCCATATCGTGTCGCTTTGTATGGGGCCTTAAATTTCGGGGTCATTAAACGCCTTTCTTTTTTGAATACTCCCTTTTTAGGGCCACAATTCAATAGCAAAAGGAAATTCCAGAAACATTAGTTTAAGGAACAAGGTTTTAAGGGATTTCCGGTCAGAATTCTCTTTGTCCTAAATTTTAGGTTAATAATAATAATAATAATATTTATTTACT